CCTAGAGTTTAACCCACATATAATGAGAATGTTAAGTCCTAAACTTTTAAACCACTTACACCATGGAAACATCCAGACTGCTGCATCTCTCAAAACAAAATAAAAAGGCTAATGACTGTGCTGCATGGTAAGGCCCTAACAACACCATGTGTCTGTAACTGCTTGAGTTATTGGCTCAGGGGAGATGAAAGCAACTGGGGACTTCTCTTCATGTCTACAGGTTTCTCTTACCATTAGATTGCAATAGCACATTGATTTCACTAGCGGCAAAGTGTCTTGAGCGATAACTAGGGACTGGCATGTTGCAGGAAGCCTTTAAAAAACTGAGAAAAGAATGGTTTTGTTGAGCTTCCTGTTGCTTGGTATTAGGCTATTTCCTTGAAGCTTGGCCACCCTAATTCCAGCTTCCATTTCTTGCTGTGGTTGGCTTTCAAATAATGACAGAATATGAAGAACTTCTTTCATGTCCTTACCCGTCCTCCTGAGGGAAGGGGAGAGGGAGGAGGAGGCATGTAAAAGTCTCCCAGCAGTGATGAAAACAGTTTTAATTTTTTGTCCCTTAATCACACATCTTCATGTAGCCATTTCTGCCATGTGGGGTTTTATCTCCTTCAGTTGACCACATCTGACCTTGACCATTTTATTATGGTCAGTGTGGACTGAGGAAGACAAATTGCAATGAAGTTTAAAAGTCATTAGCTGGATGAACTTAACATTAAGAAAAAACACAGCTGTTGTTTGACATCTCATCAGAGTACCTTCAGTATTGATGCCAATATAATGCAAGATGTAAAGTGATCCCTCCTACTCTCCAAGATCTGCGCATAACTAGCCCCCCAAAATGAGAATTTTTTTGCTTTTTGTTACTTAAGTAGATAAGAAGCCCCATAGAAGACAAAAATATTCACTTAATTTCACATTGAACTCTACCTGTCAGCTGTGCAGCAGTCCAATGGGTAAGGATGCAATCCGAGGTATTTACCGCATGATGAGACATGGCATGTGGGCTACATGCAGATAATAGATTTATAAGCTCAGCTGTTGCCAGGCTCTTATAAATTGGCAAATTAATTTATATGTTTGAAGTCTGAAGTGTGTCATTTATAATGCAGCAGTATTGCAGGCCACTGTCTCACCAGGTGTTTCTTCTCCGCTGTAGCAAGGGAATGGTTCTTGTGCCTTTCCACAACTCTGTCACAAGGCAGACTCATCCCAAAAGCTTTCTGGCTCTGAACAACCAGTGGTACACTTCGTTTCAAACTCCTAATTTCCCTCCTTTCTTTAATTACAAGTCAATCTGCACTTGGGACATACTACCTTATCACTAAATATGTACTTCAACTCAAATTGTATGAGATTTATTTCTAAATGTCTTGGTGTCTAAATCAGTCTTACAGGCAGTGATTATATAGCATGGAATGAAAGCATCAGGCAAAATTCCCACCTGATGTGACTTACACTTGAAGCTGGCATAAACCACATAATAAACCAGGCCAACATATTGACATTATTCTTGAGTTTATTACTACCTAAAGAATTTACTACTGCTTTTTTTTTTTCTTTTTTTTTTTTTTCCTATTTTTGAGTCAGAGGTTCATTTTAAAGTGTTTGGATCTGATTAGCTATTTTCTTTAATAAAATTGAGAGAAGCTATTGAACTAAATGAATGTAAAATGAAGTACCTGATGAACAGGTATCTGTTTCTTTTCACAGATCAGAGTACTTGTAATGAAGATTCAACAACCAGAATTAAAAAAATAAAGAAATCAGAGGATATTCCTTAAGAAGAAAGGAAACAAAACCAAGGGCAATATGCAAGTTTTTGTAAGTGGGTATCTGTAAGTACCTTTGCCAATTAAACATTGGACTCAAGCTTAAGGACCTAGAGGACTTCTTAATTAATCCCTTGTCACTTCATCATGTGCTAAAGACTTCAGCACATCCCATTCAGTTTCTGCGCAAGTACTTGTGTCCATTTGTCTGTTCTACATGTAGTTTCTGAACATAGTTTCTCCAGCTTCATTAATTCTGTTCACCTAGCACAACCCTGGCTTGCTCCCTTGGTTCTGGATGTCAGGGGTACTGAAGTCTGTTACCTTTTCACTCTGATGGAGCTGGAGAGATCATGTTGGCAGTGGATGGTGTAGGTCCCATGTCAGCCATGAATTTGTGGTGGATTGATCACTATTTACAGAAATTTTTCTCCTCCAGTTTCTGTTTTCCTGTTGGAGTTCAGGGACTCCAGAAGAAAGGGCTGGAACATTGTCTTTGCTTTTCAGAAAAGCAACTCTTTCAACTTTTTCAACTCTTTCAACTCTTTTTCAGAAGGTGCTCAGAGCATTTAACAAATACCAATGGACAATAAGGCAGGGCTTTCATTTGGCTACTGCCAACAAGAGAGTAGCTTCTGTCTAGGGACCTTTTCTGTACATCCTATAATGACCGTATGCCCTTATCAGGCATCATACCCTGACATGGTGGTCATGGTGCTTGGAAGAGTTAGGTGTCTTTCTTCATTGATTTCAAATTACATTGGTTATCTGTGTTCCTTAGGGAATTAAAAAATAAAATAAAATAAATCTAGCTTCTGCCTGTATAACTTCTTTGCAACTGGATTATTGTAGAGGTTCAAGATACTTGAACCTATTAAATACAGCTTCGTACAGTCCTCGTGTTTATGCTTATCTTAGTGTTACCTAGCCTCTTCGTAAGCATTAGTTGGCATGCACTGTGCAAGGTTATGTACTCTCTTACTCTGTAAAAGTGGGATTTGACCCCATGGAAAATATACTGACAAATCAAAACTTATAATCGGTTTAAAGTTCAAGGGTGCAGCCAAATCCTGAGCCAGTGTAATTTGACCTAGATCCACTCAAGTAAGTAGAGCTGTAATGAACCACATAAACAGAAATGTCCCACTGTGGTTACCTTCATACTGTGGGAATTATATGGAAACACTCAAAGCCTCATGAAGACTGTGGTTTGCTGTGTTCTACAAATAATAGTGATTTAACACCCACGATGGTGATAAACTCTCTCCTTTGAATTGAAGTAACATACACCTGATCACTCCTATGCCACTATAGGAGGGAATGCTAAAATACTGTTCCTATTACTTGTCCTAAAATCTAAGTTCATCATTCATTTACTCCTGGTACCGTCAACAGCATCCTTCCCTCTTCCCTCCAGTCAGCTCTAGGTCAATTTAAGCATCTATGTGTTGCAACTTCTAACCCTGCATTAGTATCATTACAGCAGTTTTCAGAAAAACTTCAGGTTTCATCTTAGGTAGCTAATTCTCCAAGGACATTCTTTCAAACTTTTAGAACCAAAGCAACCTCCAGCTTCTACACCTCTTAGAGGATTTCCCCAAACTGGCCATTCTCTCCCCAGGATGCCTCTATTTATGAGTAACAAGGCATAAGAAATCTAAGCAACTTTTCAACTCTCACAGATTACTGGAGATACAGAAGAGAAAAAACTTGCTAAAAGAAAACTGTGTGCAGCTCTGAATAGCCATTTCTGGATATTGCAACCAGCTGTTCCAAGAATAATTCCAAGGTTAATGAAACAGCTCTAAGATCCAGAAGTAACAGATTAAGTCTCCACTATCGCTTTCATTAGCAGAAATACAAAGTTGTCAATGCATACATTACCAATATTATTATTTTTTTTGATTTGCACCTATGTGACTGATCTCATATCTGTCCTATAAGGAGTCCAAGTGAAATATTTTTACTGTTCTTCTAACTTTTGTTCAAGTTGACTCTGCAGTTCTGAGCACCTAATTGTTATCTGTAACAGTTATTGATAAATAATGCAAGTTACCTTCTGGTTTCTTTGTAGCTGCCATCACTGTATCATAAGAAAGACATTACCAATTTAGGCTTCATGCAGTAATAGTAACTTAGTCATATAGTTTGTTTTATGTCTTACCCAGTACTATAAGAAATAGCTGTTCATTTATGCAGTAGAAAGTCATTCTGGAGCTACAAGGCAGCATCAACTAGGGCACCACTCCTGGTCTTTTTTGAGAGGGTCTTTTCCCATTTATCGTCCTATGCCTGAATTTATTGCAGACACACTGGATAGCAGAAATAGATTCACAGCAACTGACTGTAGGGAGACTCCCATTAATTCGTGTAAAGGCTATCTGAACATTATTCATGTCTCAGTCACTTGATTTCAAAATGATTTTTATGCATGAAAAGCAAAAATTACAGCATATGTTGCAAAGACATTTGGAAAAAGTGTTTTTGCTGTTATAGAAGAATTAGGTACCATTCTTAATCATGTCACAACTTCTGATACAACAAGCTTGGAAGACACAGCATTCAGCCCCATCTTAGCTCAGACTTCAAGGCAAAAATATTGGCATGATCCTCTCCTCCTTTATAAGGCCAGCGTTACACTTAATACATTACTGTTCACAAACAGGATGAGATCCTTTGGGAAGTCACCATGACTGCAAAGACACAATATGCTTTGGGGAATGGTCCTCCTCGCTAAACAGATGATGGCATTGTTCCACTGTAACTCTCTTAAATGCTGAACTGGAGTCTAAAACTCCATTGTTCATTCATTACACGAAAAAAAAAAACAAAAAAAAAAAGGAAAGCGTTCCAGTATGGTTTTTACACTTAACACAAGAAGAGCACACCCCAGTAATCTGTTTGTGTAACGTGCTTGGAGCAGAGCAAAATGCACCTGCGAGGAGCAAGGCACCGGGCTGCATCTTGTGGGAGCCGCCTCCCGCCCGCTGCCGAGTGCCAACAGGGGAGCCGCGCCACGGCATCCGCGCACCCCGCTTCGTCCCCGGCTCCTCTCAGTCCCCGGCTCCGCTCCCCCGGCCTCCCGCTCCCCGCCGGGCCCCCTCCACTCATCCCTCCCTCGCCCTGCCGCCGCCAGGGGCTCGCCATTTTGGGGGCCGCCGGGTCAGGGGGCCGCCATGTCGGGGGCCACCGGGGGGGGTCCGCCATAGCGGGGTGCCGCGCACTCACCATGGCGCTGTCCAGGGTAGCGGCCCGGCTCTGCCGGCCTGGCCGCCGCCGCGCCCCCGCTTTAAGGTACCGCCTCCGGCTCCGCCGTGCCCGCCTCCCAGCCCGGGGCCCTGGGCCTGCCCCGGGGAAGGAGGGAGCGGGAGGGCGATGCCAGCCGCTGAGGGCGAAGGGGACGGAGGCGGCAGGGAGCCCTCAGCCAGCTGCGGGTTTTGTTCCGAGTGCAAACAAAGCATTACATCTCCTATAAAAAACATTTATTCGGGCTATCGAAGCTTGCCGAAAATGCCCTTCTTCTTTCCCCCTGTTTTTAATAAAGCAGACTTTGGTGTGTGAAATAAAAACAATCTTTCTTAAAATATTGGCATTCTCCATTTTGCTTTTAAAGTGAAAATTTGTCAAAAATTACATGCTAAAAGTGTCGAAGCCTGTCCCAGTCCTGCCCTCTCAGTTCTGGCTGCTCAGGGTTTCCTCGACCTGAGCTCGGAGAACAGACTGTCCCCATGGTGGCACGAGCAGTGGAAGTGAGCCAAGGAGACCAAGCATGGCGCAGAACAGCTAAAGCCTTGAGCCGGCAGTGTGCCCAGGTGGCCAAGAAGGCCAACGGCATCCTGGCTTGTGTCAGGAATAGTGTGGCCAGCAGGACCAGGGAGGTGATTGTCCCCCTGTGCTCTGGTGAGGCTGCACCTCGAGCACTGTGTAAAGTTTTGGGCCCCTCAGTACAGGAAGGACGTCAAGGCCCTGGAGTACGTCCAGAGAAGGGCAACAAAGCTGGTGAGGAGCCTGGAACGCAAGTCCTGTGAGGAGCAGCTGAGGGAACTGGGGTTGTTCAGTCTGGAGAAGAGGAGGCTCAGGGGAGACCTTATTGCTCTCTACAGATACCTGAAAGGAAGGTGCAGGGAGCTGGTGGCTGGCCTCTTCTCACAGGTAACTAGTGATAGGACTAGAGGGAATGGCCTCAAGTTGCACCAGGGGAGGTTCAGGTTGGAAATGAGGAGACATTTCTTCTCAGAAAGAGCAGTCAGGCATTGGGACGGGTTGCCAGGGAAGTGGTAGAGTCACCATCCCTCGGGGTGTTTAAGGAAAGGTTGGACGTGGTGCTTAGGGACATGATGTTGTAAGCCTCAGGTCTTTCCTGGTGGGTTCCTTGTTCATGTACTACTTTACATCTTGCATTTTCTTTGATCTAGACACAGAGATACTCCAAACGTGTTGACAAAGTCTGCCATCCCAGTGATGCTTGACTGCCAGAAGCCTCACGTGAAAGCATATCCTCATAAAACTTTTAGCCCATTTTTTGCAGACACAAGTTTGTTTGCTTGCGCTTCCAAATTCCGTTGTGTTAGTCTGTACTGAACTGCTATAATTCCTGAGGGTTATCTGCTGGCCTTTTCTCTCATTAATGTTCTTGATCAGTTAATTCATTTGATTCTTTCGTTGTTACTACAGAACATCTTGGAATATTGAAAAGAAGAGCTTTTTGATATCCATTCCGTCCCCCAGAGAAGTTGCTACCTAAGCAGAAAGTTGTCCTCTTTGAAATTAGTATTTAGGTGCTGTTGAGCAATGAGCAGTTCAGAAGGTGACTGGCAAAGAACCATGGTAATGACTCAATAAATTTGAATATTTCTTTATTGACCAAACAGGCTGGATTCAGTGTGTCAAGCCAAATCCAGCCCTAAGGATGGTAATACAAAACATTTTTTCTTTATTCCCACTTTTTTTTGTCTAAAACAGAAAGGAAATGGGTGTTCAGGTTTGGTAAAGATGATCCATTCCTAATTTCTTGAGCTTCTTGTAACTGAAACATCATAATATCAATATAGTTTATTTCTATAGTAGCAACTTCCTTTGTTTGTTTGTGTGTTCTAAATCACAACAATTATTTCTCCAATGAAATCACAAATAGGGAGCAAACAGGATTTTGATGGCATTTAGAAGAATGTGTAATAGTACTATGGATATTTTAAAACCTATTTAATGTGCTGAATTTGGAGACTTAAGGGTTGTGTCAGGATTTTGAATCATCTGTTTAGTATGGAAGGTGATCCTGCACATGTTGTTGGATCCCAGGCAGTGAGCACAGCAGACTTCTGCCAGGCATGTTAGCTTTGAGTGGTTGCTGAACATCATGTTCTGCTGAGAGGAAAGGCAGAAAAATAAGTCAACATGTGGAGAACCAGAATTGCTTAGTTCAGTCTGACATTCCTCAGAAACAGGGAGAATAAGTAGAAGCAATTTAAGCAGCACTTCACTCTGGGACAATGCACACAACTGATGGTGAAATACTACAATTAGCTTGAGTCCTGCTGGTGCATGGATTGCTGCAGATTTGACCTTATCACAAGCTACCTAAGAATGGTTGAGGTGGGAAGGGGCCTTTGAAGGTCATCTGGTCCAACTCCTCTGCTCAAGCAGAGTCACCTAGAGCCAGTTACCCAGGGCTGTGTCCAGACAGGCTTTGAATTTGTCTGGGAAAGAAAAGTGAACTCAGACATGTCTCCCATTGCTAATCACTGCTCTTGCTCACAATCTCCTCCAAAACTTGGAATTTAAACTTAGGACTTGCCTGTTTCACAAAATTGTCTTCTCCGTAGTATCTGTACAACTCACTGGCCTCACTGGCTAAACGTCTTCTTTTCCTGAGAAGCTAACTGGAATGAAAGAGGTTCACTTCCTTATATTGTCAGTTTGTCATTGTTATTATTATTATTTTTTAAATTATTATTATTATTATTATTTTGTTTCTGATTTTATTAACATAGGGCAATGGTTACATACCTAAATTTCTCAATTCTGCTACCGATGTTATGGGGAGTTACAAGGTTAATGTGATAGACTTTTGTTAACTCTCAGTGAATGCTTAAGATCTGTTGGTAATAAAGATGCATTGAATCAAATTTGAGTAATCACTCCTCTAAAGCTAACATTTGCAATTTCTTTGTATAATGTCATTTTCTGTGCTTTTAATTTTGAAACTAGAGCTGTTGTAGTATGACTAAGTATAAAACTAAACGTTGTCTTAAATTTCCAGATGTGGGCATGTAAAATAAAAAAAACCTAAGCCACAGTAAACTTGTGGCTGCAGAAAATACTAATTTGAGCGATTGTGTAGCAGTGCTGATTTTATAATATTATGTTTTAGCACCCCCTTTCGGCACAAAGGGACACTTGCAGGTATTTACTCAAACGCTTTGCTAAAGCTGAAATGCAATAGCAACACACCCAGGAAAAGTCCTTGGCTGCACTCATAGTTTACATACTTTACATAGCTTAGTTTGGCATTTTATAAATCTCTGTAAATAGAATATTCTCATCCCTCTTATCATATTCATATTAATAATCCATTTTGATCATTTAAAACAGCCAAGAACTTGGCGAAGATTGATGGACCTGACCCAAAACTGAGGCTAAATACAAAAGACCATATTTAGATGCTCTGTCCATTGTCTACGTGTCTCCTGTGAGGAATCTGACGGTGCTAACATGCTCTGAGTTGTGACTGGAACTGAATTATTTCTCCTGCACATGCTAGCATTAGCATTATGGTAGCCTATAGAGGTCCCAGTTTGGGATTGTGGTCTTGCTGTGTTGAGACCTACTCCAGAAGGCAGGTCCTTCCTCAAAGAGCTTACAGCATAAAGCATCACGTTATCAAGGATAACCACCACCAGGGAAAGGAGTGGATGCAATCTCTTCTCTGTACTCCTTCCCTGGGAAATAGTAATGCATTAATACCAAAAGAGAGGCAGCGGGGGGAAGGTCATCACGTGTAGTCTGGATAGAAGAAAGGGCTACATTTTGCACCTTCTGCATGAACTATCATTACTTGGCCAGCTTCTTGGGTATTAGCAGTTGGCAGTCAAGCTTGTTTTGGTGACAGTACTTGGCATGGTTGCCAGTTACTTTCAAAGATATTGTATGTGCCAAGACAAGGATTAAAAAATTAGGACATGGCTGAACAAAAACTGCCTGGATTACTTTAGTTTGTTCTTCTCGTGCATGCTCATTTTAATAAGTCTTATTTACATTAATAGCCTTTGGCAAGACTCCTACTTCATCAATGCACTGTGTACGATAATAAACAAAAAGGAGGCCATGGATGATGCAAGGGTGTTAAAAACGAGAAAAGATAATCTTGTTAAAGTGGTTAAAATTCTTTTGGAGGACTAGAACACACTGCTTATATAACACAATTTCCATGTGATTATGGGTAGATCGTTTAAATATTTTTTCTACAGCTAGTCAAAGATTTTCTTCTTCCTTCTGCTGTTGCCTTAGGGTAATTGAATGTAGATTTGTCACAATGCTGAGCTCTGACAGCAGCAACTAACATAAGTGAAAGTTCTGCTTTGCTACACAGTTATGAATCTGTGCTACAAATACATTAAATACAAGAGAAGCATTACATTTTCCACATGTACCAGCTGGAAAGGAAACCAAAAATGGCAGGTGCAAAAGCAGTTGATAGTTTCAAACACCTGTTTCAGCCTCAGTCCTCTCCCTGGCTCATGGAGGATTAAAACATCCCTCCTCATTTTGCTACACAAACATGACCACCAGTTAACTGACTGCTGTGAAACAACTGGTTAGTCTAGATGCATCAGCTCTCACACCCTTTAAATAAGGCTTGTACCTTCAGAATCTGGATTACTCTTCACTGCTACTGGTCTTTAGCTCTCTTATTTGCAACATTGCATGTCTGTGCTGCTCTGTGAAATTGCATCAAATACTCCTGCTTTGGCCTGCCCCATGGTCTGGTGTACTAATTAGCAGAAGCACTCTAAGAGGTCTGCTCATTGGTCTTGGGCTACAGTTCCTATGCTGCATGATGACCTTGGCCAACCTTTTTTTTCTAACCCACAAAACATACATCAATGCATAGATGGTCATGTGCACTGACAGAAAAGATATAAGAAGGTTGATCAGTGTTGAGCGTCATAGGAAAAAGTATTGAATGTACAATATTGATAGTGCGCAGTGACCAAATGTTGCAAGGTGATGGATAAAAGATGGCAATGACTTTAATAAGTCATAAAGCTCATTATCAATATTTTTTTTTCCATCCTCTTCAGGGAACAGGTGAGACACGTTCAATTCTGCAACTCCATATTGCACATACACATGTAAGAAACTAGGTAGATCAAGCTTAGATTTGCATAAACAACCTAAT